CCCACAAGAAACGAACTGTAAAGATGGAGTAGACAATGATAGAGATACTAGTAATCTTGTTATTAGGTAGATAGACCCACAAGAAACGAACTGTAAAGATGGAATAAACAATGATGGAGGTACTAGTAATCTTGTTATTAGGTAGGATAGACCCACAAGAAACGAACTGTAAACATGGAATAAACAATGATGGAGGTACTAGTAATCTTGTTATTAGGTAGATAGACCCACAAGAAACGAACTGTAAAGATGGAGTAGACAATGATGGAGGTACTAGTAATCTTGTTATTAGGTAGATAGACCCTCAAGAAACGAACTGTAAACATGGAGTAGACAATGATGGAGGTACTAGTAATCTTGTTATTAGGTAGATAGACCCACAAGAAACGAACTGTAAAGATGGAGTAAACAATGATGGAGGTACTAGTAATCTTGTTATTAGGTAGATAGACCCACAAGAAACGAACTGTAAACATGGAGTAGACAATGATTGAAGTGCTAGTTATCTTGTTATTAGATAGATAAGTAAACAGACAGACAGATCTTCCTTCGTGGTTAGACGTGAATTTGTCTTTGTTAACACGTTGCAATTTGTGTTCATTTATGGTAAACGTTTCACCCGGCTAATAATTACAAAAAAAAGAGCACAGACAAGATAAAATGGAGAGGTAATATAGACGTCGTGTTTACCACGTGGTATGTGATTCAGTTTGTTTATTTACCACTTTTCTTATTCATAAATCAAACTTACATTAGAAACAGATATAGACCGAAACAAGTATTAAGAATTATAAAGAATGGAAGTTTTTCCAGTATTTATTTAACGGCATACGATGGCCGTTTCGTAGGGTGATACGATGACCGTTTCGTAGCGTCATACGATGGCCGTTTCGTAGGGTGATACGATGACCGTTTCGTAGCGTCATACGATGACCGTTTCGTAGTGTGATACGATGACCGTTTCGTAGTGTGATACGATGACCGTTTCGTAGTGTGATACGATGACCGTTTCGTAGCGTCATGCGATGACCGTTTCGTAGTGTGATACGCCGACCATTTCTGAAGCATTTGGTGACATCTATAATCCAAAACAGTTTACGATTGGAAATTTTCTACCCATTTTCTCCGAAAGTTGATCTTGGACCACACTGGTTGATTTTGAATCATATTGACGTTGTTTGAGAATCTGATAACTCTATTGGTTGATTTTGAATCATATTAACGTTTTCTGAGGATCTGATAACTCTATTGGTTGATTTTGAATCATATTGACGTTGTTTGAGAATCTGATAACTCTATTGGTTGATATTGAATCATATTAACGTTTTCTGAGGATCTGATAACTCTATTGGTTGATATTGAATCATATTAACGTTTTCTGAGGATCTGAGAACTCTACTAGTTATCTTGAATTGTATTGACGTTGTCTGATGATCTAATAACTCTACTGGCTGATATTGAAGCATACTGATGTTGTCTAATGATCTAATAAATCTGTTGGTTTATGTTGAATCATGTTGACGTTTAATGTTGTCTGAGGATTTAAAAACACTGACGTTACCTTAGGAACTAATAACTCTACTAGTTGATTTTGAATCATACTGACGATATCTGAGGATCTGATATCACTACTGGTTGATCTTAAACCATTTTTACGATATTTGAGGATCAAATAACTATATTAGTTGATCTTGAATCATGTTGATTTTGTCTTAGGATCTAATAACTTTAATGGTTGATATTGAATCATGTTGATGTTTTCTGAGGATCTAATAACTCTACTGGTTGATTTTGAATCATATTAACGTTGT